AAGAGAAGAAGAGCATGTGAACACACCAGAGGGCCGGCAGCACAGTCAAGAGAGCAGATGTGGAGCACCACAGGCATCAGACAAGGTCTCACGAAATTGAAACCATTCAGTATTTAAACCTAAGGGACTTCAAAACAGGGAACTAGATGCTCAGCTATAGAAAGAGCTGGAAAGCATTCTGGGACAATGAGGCCACACACACACACACACACACACACACACACACACACACAACAGAGAGTGAGTACCACCACCAGATGAGGGTCAAAGAAAGAAAATGTTTCTGGAGATCAGGTCTAAGTCACCAGGCAGAACTGTAAGCGCCACAATCACTCCTTGCTGGCAGGAACTAGGGCCATGGAGAAGAGAGGCACCTGACACTGAAGACTGTGTATGAGGCCAGAGGGGAGGGATCTGGTTGTTTTCTCCAATCTCCCAAAGGGAGATTCATAGGACCCTAAGAAAGGGCAGCCCATAAGAGTCAGCCCCCACAGCACAGGGCAGAGCAAAAGAAGGGGAAGAATGGCTCTACCTTTCCCAGGGACATCTGAGTTAGCACTCAAACTTGAAGTTACAGACACATCGCCTGGAGATCTTTCTGAAATGCAGATTCTGCCCCAGGAAGTTTGGAGTGGGGACCCAGAATTTGCATTTCTAAACAGCTCCAAGGTGGTATTAAGGCTGCTGATCCAGAAGCCACACTTTGAACAGACAAGGATCTAACTGATCTACGTGAAGGACAGTGCTATTATCAAAAGGAATTTAACCATAATTCTCTCAAGAATAAAAATATGCAGTCATATATGAAATTTTCAAATATAAATGAGAACAATGGGGTAGTGTATACAGAAGCATCACTAGGGCAGAAATGTTCCCCATACAATACTTCATGGGTGTGTTGCCCACAAGGTCACCAGATCTGTAGAGTTCAAGGTTGTTGTTAGGGCTGAATTGTTTCAGCCCAAAATACATGGTGAAGCTCTAAACCCTAGTACCTCACAATGTAACTGTATTTAAAGACTGGACCTATAATAAGTTAAAATTAATTGACTAAGATGATTAAGTTGAAATGAGGCCATTAGGGTGAATCCTAATCCAGAGTGACTCTTTCCATTATAAGAGGTGATTAGGATACACAGAAGGAGACTGGGATGCAGACACACAGAGCAGGTCACGTGAGGACATGAGAGGTAGCCATCTGCAGGCCAAGGAGAAGCCGCCTCAGGAGAAACCAACCATGCCAATGTCTTGATCTTGGACTTCTAGCCGCCAGATCAGTGAGCAAATGAATTTCTGATGTTTAAGCCATACAGTCTATGGTATTTTGTTATGGCAGTCTGAGCAGATTAATACAATTTACTTTTTGTTTACTGCTACTGTTTAATCCTGTAAATTTCTAATGTGTGCCTGCTAAGTTTGAAGCAGAGCCATAGAAGCTGGCTCAGAGAATGATGAAGAGATGCAGTCCAGGGCCAGCTCCTGCTCTTCTTTTCTGTTATGGATGTGTTGGCAGCAAGCAGGAGAAACCAATACTGCCTAACTCAAATGATGATGAGCACTATGCCAGATATAAAAGCAGATGCCATAAAAGTACAGAAGAAAGCAAAATTTATCCTGAGAAGCAGGGAGAGGAAAGAAGGGGTGATCAATGGACCTGGAGGTAGATTCTGATAGAAGCACAGAAAGGCAAAAGCATCCCTATTGACAAAGCAACGCCAGCAAAAGCTAAGGGACTCCAAGAAATCCAATTCCCTACTGCACTCAGCAACTAGCATGTCACCCAGCAGGTTGAGATGAAGGGAGAACCATGACAGGACTATTCAGATGAAACTGAACAGGAGACACCTGCCTTTAAGATCCAACAAGGGAACACGAACTTCAGAAAATGAAGACTAATGAAAATGAGGAAGGTGAATTACAGGGATAGAAAGGGAGGAGATGTTGAGCACAGTAAGAGAACTCTCCCTCATTACCTATTGGCCTAAGACCTGCCTCTTTAAGTAAAATACATGTTCTGCTGTCAACTACTTTCAAAATAATGCTGAAGATTTTATCATCTCTTACCCTGCTAACTTGGATATAACAAAGAGGTTGCCATCCACCATGATTTCCAAGCTGGGAACCAAGGTATATAACATTAATAGATGAATGATACAGCTCAGTGAATCAGAAAGGAAATAGCCTAAGATCCAAGTTCTGAGTTCCGTAGATCAAAGCTCAGGTTCCAGCTTCTATCATCATGTTGCTCTGCTAAAACAGTCAGCACCTTTTGTCAGAGCATACATGCACCTAGAGGTCTGTCACTGTCCCTCCACTCTCATGCAACAAGACTTTGGATTTTACTTATTTAGAACAAGAGAAATCACAGATTGGATGTAGAAAGAAGGGAACAAAAATACTCCTGACTTGAGCACCTAAGAGCTAAGGATACAGTGATGTCCAGGCAAATTTAAGGGACTTTCAAGAGGAATTCAGATTTAAGGGTGTCTTCACCCAACACACTGAGTTTAGACTCCTCCCCCTACATGGGGGGAGGGAAGATCCCTATGTTTCTAAAGCTACTGCAAATGATACATGTTAAATCTCAAGACTCATAACTGAAACAGGCAATGTAAATATACAGTAAAGATCATTGCCACTGATTTGAGATGAATTTCATGCAGTACTATGTATTATGATGAAACACAGCAGAAATACAGGAGAGGATTACACAAGCCAAACAGATATATACCCATGGAATTGCAATCAATTCCAAAGAAAGTTTTCAATGAAAACATTCAAATTCTCCTCTTCTTCACTCCAGCCTGCATGTACAGTCTTTCAATAAGAGATAAAGACAACCCTTAAACTACCAAAGATGAGCAGAAACGACTATAGATTTAAAGCACAAATACCAGCAGAGAAATCTAAAACAAGCTTGCAAGGTTGAGAGGAGGAAAAATCACGAAATAGCATTTGCCTTCCTCCTAACCTTTCACACATAACATGTATCATATGTTTCCTTCTCATCTGAAAAATATTTTTAAAAATAAATAGATTTAGGAAAAATTGGATTGGAATTAAAGGAAGATTTAGCTTCTGGCCCAGAATCACCTTATGAGGAAAAAAAAAAAATGCCTAAGAAAAAGTTCAGAGGTTTCACCATTGTAACTTTCAAAATAAAATTTTGCAGGGCCATTATAAAACCCAGTATATTACTACAGTAAATGGGAATGTAGTTCAGTGGTAGAGCACTTGCCTAGCTTGTGCAAGGCCCTGGATTTGGGCTCTAGCAACACACACACACTCAGAAAAAAGAAAGAAAACCCTATAGTGTCAAAGGAGACACTGAAGCAGTACAGCAGATCAAGCTTATATCTTTCAATTTCTTGCTACAGTGCTTCTGGTGTTACTAGGCACTGCATACAACAGTGACTTTTCAAAGAGCTGACTAGTGATAATTTCTTTCTTCCTTAAATGGAGATATTATCCTCCCTCCTTGGCAAATTTTCTGGGAAAACATACATTATACCATGAAAGTTCAAAGAACTGGGGCTTCAGGAGCTACAACACAATCTCTTAAGAGTAGATGTAACTTACCAAAAAAATATTGTACCTCTTTAAAAGTGTTTATTCCATACATAGCTATTCTGAAATGTGAGTGAAGTCTTTGTTTGGTTTCACGCACTAAAATCTCTCAACAAACCTGGGCTGGGGTGTAAATCAGTAAATCAGAGGACTTTCCTAACACAGGCAAGGCCCAAAAGCCCAGGGTTGATACCCAGGGCCATGTACATATATACATAAATACATACATATAATCTAAAAAAGGAAATGTTGCAGAAGTACAGTATACAACTTCTGTACAAAACAGTACAACATTCTTATCATAATAAGGAGAAAGAAGGAAATTTGAATGTGAAAATTCTTACTTGGTACAGTGCTTCCTGAAACTGATAAGAAAATTACCAGGATCATCACAACCTGCTACCATTTGGAATTTGGGCACAACCTCTGACCTCATGAAAAACACTCTTATTATCCCTGATTCCCAAGATCTTTATGAAGTATAATGCTGGCTCTGCTCTTTGAGACAATTGTTAGATACAGACAGAACTTAATTTATAATCCAGGCTGTCAAAAGTCTGCCTCCATGAACCAGTGATTGGATGCGCCATTTTGATGTGATGGGGATCCAAGTTAGGGTTCTGCCCAGTCAGTCAGTTAAGCCTCATCTATCTAGACTTGCCAACATTAGATGAAGGTTTAACTCTTGAGATAGTCCTACTTCAATAGACCTCAAAACAAAGAAACAAATGAACAAAAAACTCAGATTCAACAGCCTCTGAACTGCCTTCCCTTGTGCTAAAGTCAGGCAGATGCCATCAATGCACAAAATTTTAACCTGAACTTCAAATCTGGTGTTACTGGCCCTCAATACATGTGAGAGATTTTATACCCAAGTCAGCAAAAATACAAAAACATAAAGAAACCAGTATTTTGAAGCATCAACCATGAAAAATGGAGGCCTCCAAGAATTTTCACAGTAAGTCCTGCCAGAAATGCATATCATCACACAGTCTAGTCCTTGAGACACATGAAAAACATTTTGATAAGACATTACTAGTTTAGAAATTTCTGAAATTTAGTCATGACACACGCAAACATATTCTACAATATTGTCAAGGAAAGTATATTTTTAATTTAATATATTGACTTTGGCAAAAGCAGAAAAAAACAATGTGAATGCCCCTAAAGAATAAAAAGAACCAAGTAAAAGTAAATATCTTAAATATCAACATAATCTGTGCATGTTAAAACATACAGCTTTAATGTCTAATAAACTACTTACTTTCCCAATTCTTCAAAATCAAACAGTCAAACATAGTCACTAATCGGCTCCACTGATTTTACCCTAAGCAAAGCACACAATTGCCATGTATGAAAAGGGGGGTAAAAAAAAAAGGTTTACATACTTAAGCCAACACAGTAAGACTAAAACACCTTTTTATAGTCCTTACTTTCAAAATATTTTGGGTTTCATTCCACTTATTGGTCCATTCCTTGGTCAATTCTTGAACCTAAAAAGAAAGTGGTTATTTTTAATAATTAATAAGATTTTCTTATAGAAAGCTTCCAAATTCTTAGAACTTATGCAAATATAAAGTATTATTTTTTATTTTTTTTATTTTTTATTTTTTTTTATTTTTTTTTTTATTTTTTTTTTTAATATCTTTATTTTGTTTTTATGTGGTGCTGAGAATCGAACCCAGTGCCTCACGCACGCTAGGCGAGCACTCTACCTCTTGAGCCACATCCCCAGCCCAAGTATTATTTTTTAAATGAGCTAGCAATTTCAACAAAAGCTATATCACCAAATATAAGTCAAACAAGCTGATCTCATCCTACAATCTACATTTTGGCAAAGGTTTAAACTGACAGAAATTGTTAATCAAGTTGCCTAGAATTTTACAACAGTCTTTCCTGGCACATTAACTAAAGCTGTTTCTGTGGATTATTAACCAAAATCACAAGTTCAAGGATGACAATGTCCCATTAAATGGGTTAATTTTTCCTGACTATACTTTGGGTCCTAAGAAATAGTGATTTACTTTTCTTTCTAATTAGATGTAGTGATTAAATCACCTTGGATGTTGCATTTTCTTTTAGGAGATAATGTGCTTTTGTAGCTAATTAATGGGGTTTAAAAATCTCATTCTATCTTATAAAAAAAAAGGTGGTACTTTAATTGGCTCTATTAGTGAAAGAAAAGATCTTTTGATAAAAAGCAGCTTCTTTCCACTCTGCTATAACTTTGGGAAGAAAACATTCTCATTGTTGATCATGGAGAAATTGTTTTTCAAAATTAGTGGACATTTCCTACTAGTTCCAGAAAAAAATTCAGATGATTCTAATGATTAATTCATTAGGAAGGAAAAAGTGATACCTGAATTGAGTGGTGGAGGAAAAAAAATGAATAAAAAATGTATTCTGTGAACAGGAATAGACCTAGGATAAAAGAGAGCCTTCGGAAAGGGGAGTCATCCTCTTAAGACCTCTTCCTTTCTGTGCCAATGTCACTCCTGCCTCCCCTCCTTCCTCCCAGAGGCAGACACCTCACTACATAAACCTCCTGGTCTTCCCACCAGTGAGCCACCCCACTTAACCAGGACACATGGACCCATAAAATACATCTGCCTTCACTCTCACTGCTAAAACGAGTGAGGGTGTAAGCATCCATGAAGTACTACTTGGAAAGGGTATTCCTGTCAGCAAACTTAAGGAAAGAAAATGTGGTGCTGACAAGAACTGGAGGATCAGGAGTGATGGTTTATCCAAGAAGAAAACCAAACTTCACCCACCTACACTCAATCATTCAGAGGCCATTCATTTTACTCCTCAATTTACCTCAAGTAAGACTGTGGGGGTTACATTTTTTAAAATAATGTTTCTTCTTTTACTAGTTATTGGTGACAAACTCTACCATCTTCTTGGTGAAAAACAAAAGAAACAGAAGTAGAAGAATCTTTCTAGTTGCACTTTTTGCTCATCCCTAAAGCTATGAAAAGGCAATGTTGATTTGTCTGATCCTTCACTGATACCAACCCCAGATTCACAACAGTAATAAAAAACATGAAGGTTTTGGGGTATTTTGTTTTGAAAAAACTTTCAGAGAGGAATATTCTTGGTATCCTCTTCCTACAAAAAAGGAATAGCCTAATATGTTCAGTTTACTAATTTATACTAACCAGAGTTTCTCGCTGGCAATTAACCTGAGAACACAAAGCATTCAAAACAAATGATTCTGCATTTCACCAACAGATATATTCTCACTGCAGAAAAGCAAACCAAGCAATCCTTTCCAAATTCAATCAAGTAATTCTAGCCTTTTAAAAAAAGTTTTAAAACATGGCTTGGAATTATCTTTTCATTATATTTAAATCAAATAGTCATTTAAAACATTAATAAAAAATGCAAATGTGTGATATCACCACTAACAATGTGATCAGGTGATGAGATTTATAGCCAAGCAGATGGCAAACAATTAAAAAGGGTCAGCAAAAAACTCGACAAAGGCTTCAAAAATGTTACGAACAACATAGGCAGTCATTTCTGTCACAGCATGTGTAATGCATTCAAATTAAAATGTTTATTGCTTTCTATTAGCTTACCAGGTATTCTAGAAAACTATAATTGAGAGACAATTTAAGACTCTATCTAGACATTTCATAGCATTCAAAATTAGAACCTGAAGCACTAAAATACACATTTTCATGAGAAAAATAGGGATTAAAAAATAATGTTTTTACTACTGCTATTATCAGCTTATTAACCAACATAATCACCCAGGGAAGTGTCAACAAGTTTCTAAGTACAACCCAATTTATATCTTCCATATTGTGTATTCTTGAGTTTTTACCAACAGAATCCAATTATTTTTCTCAGTCTGTTTTAATCATTCAGCACTAGGAAGAAAATCTATTCCAAAGATTGTTCTTAATGTCTGTTTCTCTTTTCCCAGAGGGTATTATTTAAAAAAAAAAAAAAAAAAAAAAGCATAGAACAAGGTCAGCCATGAAACTGGTTTCCAAAAAGCACCAGCCCACAAGTGTTGGCTGCAGCCTGCCTCGCCCCTGAGAGCTGCTCTCTCTTCTGGTCACTACTCACTGCAACACCCTCCCTGCTTCAACTCTCAGCCAGCTTAACTAAACATGTGCTGGACATCCAGTGGAAACAAAGTAAAGAAATGACCAAAAGCAAAGCAGTGCCCATTGTGAAATTGAGAAGACCACTGCTGTTTCATCTATTTCATGAATGTTGAGCTCCGCCTCCCTCCACCAGGGACTCCTGCCTATTCAGATGGCCTGAGTGGTCTTACTGCTTTGTCCAGAGGGCCAGCATGTGCATTTAATCTCAGCTGACCATCATGTGCCACAGAAATCCTATTTACTAAATCACAGAGAAAAGTATGCAATACATAAAAAGGCAACTATTGTGCATCTTTAAAAATGATCACAGGATTGGGGTTGGGGAAATACAGTGTAATGAAGAAGGAAAGTAAATACTAGAAAGCATGGACTTAAAAATATAGCATAAGTTATCACTTACTCTTGCTTCATTCTGCTGAAGTTTTTCCTCCATACTTAAAGCTGTAGGAGAGTCTAAGAGGGCAATCTAAAATTTAAACCACAAAAGACATCAGCAGTTAATAAACAGCAGTAACATACTAGAAGAATTATTCCAAGAATATAGTAAATGATCAAAAACTTCCACAAAAAACATGAGATATTAGTAAAAAGTAATGCCATACCTCCTCCTCCTCAAAAAAAAAAAAGTGTCATTTACCACCAAAACTCTAATCCAGGGGATACATATCTCATAATAACCAAAGTCATGGCACCCTGGAAAATGTGTATTTGCAATACAAAGCAAAAGTGCAACAGAGACATTTTACCAAAATAAAACACAATCTAAATTCCTAGATTTTAAGGATTTGTCTGTTTGACATGCAAAATACAAAATTCAAAAAGAAACAAGCCAAAGTTTTGTTCAACCACAAGCTCCTGAGGTCCATGCATGTTGAAATATGCAATAAAAACTCATTTATTTTCACTGCTAAATAGTATTCAATGTATGCCATGGCAACACTACAGTCTCTAGCCATTTCCTTATCTGTGTGAAGTGTGAAGATTGGCAATGAGAATGATAAACACCAAAATCAGGTAAGAACTGGGGAGGGACAGACAGGAGAGAAAAACAGAAGCAGGCTAGGGCTTCATCTGAGCTCCTAACATGTCAGCTGTGACCTGAGTATTAGGAACACAGAGCTCTCTATCCTATATATCTTCCTCACTTCTTAAGATGTGATAGGAAGAAAACAGAAAGGGAGTTTCCTGCCCCACCCATCCACAATCACTTTTCTCAATTTAGTATAAACACCTACTGTTTATTCTGATTATATGAAAGCCTGTATTTGTTGTGTTTGTTTATTACAAGGATTGAACCTAGGGGCACTTAACCACTGAGCCATATCCCCAGCCTGCTTTTATTTTTATTTTGAGACACTGTCTGGCTAAGTTGCTTAGGGTCTTACTAAGTTGCTGAGGCTGGCTTTGAACTTTCGATCCTCCAGGGTCCTGGCAAGGGACACACCCAGTTACAGGAGTCACTGCCCCCAGAGAAATCTAAAGCTATGATTTCTCAGCTGGCATTTATATGATATTCTAATCCTGAAAAAATTCCCTAACATGGGGTCTTTATAATTAGAGATATTCCCATATGATAAAGCTAGGATCCCACTTTAATCAGATTGACAGAGAATGAGGCCAGAAAGTTAACCTATTAGTCAAATTTGTCCTCCAAATTTGAATGAAACAGAAGCTTTATTATCATGTTACTACAAAGTGTCAGTTGCACCTAGCAGGTTGTCTTACACACAGAAGGTACTTCATTAAATACTTTTCATTTAAGAAATGAATTGAAATTATTACCAAGCCTGTTTTGTTTATATAGGGTTGACAATTTTTTAAAAAATTAACCCTTTATAATATGGCAAATTTTGCAGAATCCACCATTGGATTTTATCTATAACTAAAGCTGAAACATTACTAATTCATTATCAGCTTAGTAGATAATCACTAACTGAGCAATATGCTTCAAAGGCTATTATGACCAAAAGCTCTTTTTAGAAAATATGTATTTCCAATTTTTTTTACAAATTTTGAAGCATGTATAAAGGAAGACCTACTTAAGTTCTTTCAAAAGAAAAACTAACAAACATAAACCACTGTCAATTCTTCTATGCAAGGTGTCTATGTTCAGGATTAAATAATATTTAGATTCATGTGTTATTAAACTGAGAGTGATGCTATCTCAAAAATACAGCAATTTTACCTCCCTCAACAGCATAATTAAGCACCTCTTGCCTCCCACTCTTGCCAATACACTATACAATTAACTGCACTATTATATTTTGAACATATGTTTTGTAGGTTTCAGGAAACCATTGGAAACTTTTTTTTTCCTGTTAATTGTGCTCACATTCTTTCTTAAATTTTCTGTTAGGTTGTGGTTGTTTTTATTCTTTTCTAGATGTTCATTTCATAATAAGGAAATCAGTCTTATGTTGAATGAGCTGCAACATTTTTTCCTGGTTTGCATCACATGGATTAGAGGAAATCTTCATGCTATTATGTACATAAGCATCTTCACTTACTTTTGTCTACCTGAGCTCTCACAGTATGAGAAGAGTTCAAACTTTCTGTGGCAAATATGTGTCACTGTTTCCTGTTATTTCCAATAGTTTCATTGTTTTTTTCCTTTATGAAAGTTGACGTCATATATCATTTTATTTGAGAACTTGTCATGACAAAATGATCTTTTTTTAAGCTCATATATTCTCTTTCTCACTGCTTTCTTTCTCCTTGAATTAACTGGTAGGCCTTTACCTGTATTCTATTCTATTCTATTCTATTCTATTCTATTCTATTCAGCCACTGGGGATCCCAGGGGTGTTTTATCACTAAGCCACACCCCAATCCCTTTTTACTTTTTATTTGAGACAGGGTCTCACTAAATTTTTTAGGGCCTCACTAAGTTGCTGAGGATGGCTTTAAACTTGTGATCCTCCTACCTCAGCCTCCTAAGTCACTGGGATTACAGGCATGTGCTACCACACCCAGCCCTTTGCCTGTTCTTATACCAACAGATAACTGAGTTCTGCTTTGTAATCCTATCTCAGATGTATCAATCTTAAAAGTTCTACATAATGATACTTCTATTATTTAAAATTTATCATTGGCTCCAGCTACAAAAATGTGCAATTTGTTGTTCTTCCATCTTCTCTTTCTCACCAACTTTTTGCTGTTTAACTTTTGTTGTTTATTACTGTTTAATTTACTTGTCTCCCAATATATACAAGAGAGATGGGGGAGTCAAGAGACATTCTGTCTCTGCCAAATTCAAAGCAGAAATATGTGAAGATATGTCTCAATGTAATAAAAGAGAACAAAAACTTCATAAAAAAAGGATATCCCAATATCCACTTTCATTACTAATCATCTGAGAAGTGCAAAGGTAAAATCATTCTGTGACACTGGTATATATCTATCAGAATGGTTGCAATGAAAAATGACAATAACAAATGTTGGCAAGATCTATAGCAATTAAAACTGCCATTTTCATATACTTATGGTGGAGAATAAATTAGCATAAACATTTTTAAAAACTGTTTGGCAGTTTCTACGTAACTACTAAAACGGAACATACGTACACCTTCTAGTGTAGTAGGTGAAGCAAATACAATACATCCAGAACATATTATTTTATAAAATTATACTTTTAAAACTGATACATGACATTTGCAATAGTGAATACACAAAATTACTAAAAGCAGAAACTAATTTTTATTTAGCTGCACTTAAATAAATAACCATAGAACAGAATTTTGATTTCAGTAATATTCTGAAATATTGAACCATAGTAGTAGCACTTGAAATAGAATACTGTACAAATAGAACAATGTCCTCAGAAAGATTCATAGAGATTTTTAATGAGTATTTAAGTACACCTGCTTATTTTTTTAAATAATATAATTTAATTATTTTAGGGTAAGCCTGGATTGTCTCACAATAATTTATAGCTTCTGAGTATAATAAATAACTTTTAATTGGACTCCCATTTCCAATGTAATTTATATCAAAGAATTTATCTTCAATGTGATGTAAAATAGACCATTTCATCCATTCCATACTCAGCCTCAAAACAATAGTAACAAAAATACTCCCTCAAGTACATCAGTAGTTGGTGGGTGGGGTAGGGTATGAAATGAAAGGCACCACTTCAGCATGTCAAAACCTCTCAAGACATTCTTTAGAAAATGTGTGAGTGTTTTAAAAAATTAAACTTTTCTGTTTGTGTAAAAAGGATGATCTCTCCTTTTTTCCTTCATTCTCTTAAATGTTTAAGTACAAGAAGTTACACCTAGAATTTTTCAAATACTTCCTTGACATACAGTACTTTGATCCTATCAAATAATCTTTAAATGCTTACCTGAGAGAAATAATGCTTTTAAAACATTGAAAAGGGATCCCAGTAACAAAGTATATGTGGCTCAGGTTGTAAGTTTTTACATCACACGCAGCTGTACCATTGATTCTGACAATTTCCTTTCACACACGAAGCTCACATCACAAAGTAAAATGTGTGTGGAGATATTTGTAAGCACAATGAATGATTCCTATCTCAGGTGGGATACTGAGATTCCTATCTCAGGTGTATTTCAGGACACAGGAAGCTCGGTGAGCTTTTCCATCCTGGCAGTATTTTCATAAATCAAGCTATGTATGGGATGTCAAGAGCTTCAAGTGCTAAGTGTTCCTACATGGAAAACACTGTTCTGGAGACCACTTTGCAGTTAAAGAAAAACATTTCTTTTAATGATATACTGAAGACATATATTCAGGGGTTAAGAAAATGGGATGAAATGTATCTTTATTTCTAACTCCAGTATAACTTGTTCTTGATTTTCTTTCAAGGGTGGCCTTTCTTCCCAGCAGTATCTAAGCCCTCGTGAACTTAACTTACTATTCATCACAGAATGTAACTCTGGTTTTTTGGGGAGTTTTTTTTGGTGGTTCAGGGGATTGAAGCCAAGGCCTTGTGCATGCAAGGCAAGCACTCTAACAACTGAGCTATGTCCCCAGCCCACAGAATGTAACTCTGTATGTGTGTGCTTTGCAGACTCTAAGAAAGTTTGCTATAAAAATAAAAAAGGGATAAGGCTTCTTCACTAGAAACCCAAAAGATCCTGAAGTAAGGCCATTTCAATAATCAATAAAGACCCCAGGGACAGCAATACAGCCAGGTGTCAGGTATAATGTCACACGTGTCAGTGAATCACTATATCCACCTCTGTGACAGGTGATAAGAAACAGAGATTCCAGAAAGGTGTTCAAACAAGTCTTTCATTCTGCTAAAATACATTTTAAAGTCATAAAATGCATGGGTAGAATTTTAAATATTACTCTAAGCATCTCAATTTCTTTCCACTAATGGAGATTATGCCGCTAATCCTATTGCATGCTAAATTTCCATCCATAATTGATAACTATTAGATAGTTAATCATTTCAGGTTTAGTGGATAAAATCTCACATATGAAGCACATAATGAATGCAAAGGCCAATAGGAGGTTGATGTAAAGGAGAGACTGGCTAACTCATTCGAAGCTTTACTTAGCACTTATTTACTCAAATCAATACTATGAGATAATTGTCTCATTAAGATCTAGAAATAGATGCCATTACTCAAAGAAAATTATCCATAAATCTCAGAAAAACCCAACCTGATTCCCTTGAGCAAGCAGTGTTTTCAGTCTGGCTATTTCAGCTCGCAGCTCACGGATGAGTTTGACGTTGGCATCCTCATTAATGGTAGGCTTGTTGATGATGTTTTTGGCTCTATTTGCATATCGAAGAGTACTTAGGGTTTCTCCATAATTGACATCAGCAGGTGAAATAGCTGTGAAGAATGAATTCAAAAAATAATTTATCTAGCACTCCATGTTTCATTTAACACAAAGTTGGTTTGTAATTTAAAAGTCAGATTAACCCCAGGTCATTGGATAGACTAAATATTCATTGCCATAGTAATGAATATTAAAAATTATCTAAGATTTTATAGGAAAGGGTGTTCACCACACCAAATTAAATGTCATTTTGCTCTTCTCAAGTCTAGAATCAGCCATCTAACCAACTTTAAAATAGGATGAGACATCCCAGCATAGTTAAGGCAGTGGAAAATATAACAAGAGGATTTCAACACTCTTTGAACTTCTCAAAATTAAGCGGGAATTAAAACACTTTAAATATTTCTGGCCAAGCCAACCATCTGGAAAAATCTACTAGAGCATGATAATTTTTTAAATGATTCAATAGACTAGTTAATTCTTTCTTTCTAGAAACTTTGGTTAATCCCAACCCACCCCCACCAAACCTTAAAGTCAGGATGACTGTGAAATTCATGGAGTTATACACCCAGGTAAGATCCCTTGCCTCTGCAGTTAATGCTTGGCAATTGGTAGGGTAAGGGACATATGAAGGGGAAAGGAAGGAGAGAAAGAGGAAGGGGGAGAAGAAAATGACTATTCCCTCTTTCTACGTATTTTTCTTTAGTCTGCTTCTTTCAGTTAATCAGTCAAAATAAGTTTCTTTATTGTTATCATTATTCGTTATATGTATTAGAATTTTTCTCTCAATTTTTAATTTCAAATGTTGCATCTACTGCTTTAAATAGAAACACAAGGTTGGGTTATTTTTTCCATTGTAAAAAATGATTTTCTTCTGTGAGTTAGTGAAGTTAAAAGTTTCTGCCTTGTATTATAAGCAAAGAAAAACAAGAGTTTCTGCATGATAATCCAACTTCTATAACATAGCCAGGCTACATAACAGTTAATACTATAAGATTACATATTAGATACAGTAGGTAAATTTCAAGATTGATAAACCATTACTTTTTTAAGATATAAAAGGTATTACACCCTAATGAGACATTTCCAACGTAAATATTTACAGTTCATTCACAGAAAATACTGAATGTTTAGAAAAACAACTGAAAACTCTTACTGGCAATCATGATGGTTTTAGAATTTCCTCCAAGGCTATCTTTCAACAACCAAGTCAAAACAGAATCCCTGTAAGGCACAAAAACTTGCTTCTTCTTTACAAGAGAGTTTGCTGCATCCTGAGATAAATCAGCTATAGGGAGGAAGGAAAGAAGGACAAAGAAAGGATAATTACTAAAATATTTTTTCCTCTAATTTTGCTTCAAAAACCCTCGAGGATGTTGCCTCTGTTTGCAAGAAAAACATAAAGCATAACTGCTTTGTGCTAATACAGCACCACAAGGAAAAAGAGGCAAATGGTGAGCATAAACTTACCTAAGGCAGAAATGACGTTTCCCAGAGTCACGAGAGATTTGTTAATATTTCCCCCTTCTTTGAGCCTGACCCCAGTGGCACCGGTGGCATCTGCACGCTCGCTTCCAGCAAGATCTACTAAGTGGATCTTACTCACAGTTTCACATGGCATTTCAGAATCAAATTTTGCCTGTAGTCAAATATGAAAGTAAAATTGGAGAGATACAAAGGGGCCTGATGTTTGTGATACAAATTCTAATTATTTCCACTTCTCATTGCAACCTCTCAGGGTAAATCTTTTTTCATTTTGTTGTCTTATTGGGATTACAAAAACTTCCAAAATCCAATTCCATATACAAGAAGTCTACCATATGTGATTCTTTAGCTTGCTGGAGCCATCTCATTGCTCAAATCACTGTCATTCTCAACAGAGCCCCACTGAGTCAGAGTGTGGCAGAATATGAAAGTAGGCCCATTCTCCTCTATAATCTGCAGCATGTCAAGCACAAAAGCTCTCCAAAATATGACAAATGTACACAATTATGTAAAAAATAATTTGATCATTATCTGATAAAACATTTTCACAATTTTTAATGTGAAATGTTAATACTATATCCCTTGTTTAATTTTACCAAAATTTAATCTTTCCAAAGACTTTTAATTTATGCTTTACATTTTGAACCAAAAGGCAAAACTAAACTTTAGATAAAAATGTAAACCCCTTAAAAACTACAGACAACCATAACCCTAACTAATCAGAAATCAGGAGAAAAACTAGTAAACTATTATAAATCAAAGCAAGGGTCTAAGGAAAGATAAAGGTGAGCAGAAAGGAAAGAGAGTTATTCTGACTAACCTTAGAGAATCTTTTCATTTGCTACTCTCTGATCCCCTTTATTAATAAAATCCTGCCTTTGTTTCTGACATGTTGGTGAAGACATCACCAAATTCCTAACATATTCTTAAGCCCTAAGAGAACCCTGCATTTTTTGATTCAAGTGTTCTGCTGGCCTCAGTTTTAAACTATATACATTTGATCCTTTCCCCATGTTCAAGGAGCTCTACATCACTTGATCATAATGACTCTTATATTAGTACTTACAAATGTTCGCTGTCCTTTAATATCATTCTAATAATCATAATCAACACTGTAGGGTGAGCACCATGGAGTGATAATGCACTGCACTCACTCACCTTGGCCTCCAGCTGGTCTGGCTCTGGCTCATAATTCATTATTTCCCACACAGCTCAAAACAACAAAAACTTTTCCTTAATTCAGGAAAGAGCAAGGTGTTCTTTTTTTGTTTTGTTTTTGGGAATGCTCGTGTGTGTGTGTGTGTGTGTATGTGTGTGTGTGTATGTGTGTTTCTTTTTTCTTTTTAAGTCTAGAACATGATGGAAGCCTACTAAATATTTCTTAAGGGTACACAACAGGACATTGAAAATTACTGTGATTGTAACCACGGAGAAACTCAGTGCACAGCACATGTTCAACTTTAATTAACTAAAAAATGACAGCCACCTTTGCTTGCTGCTGTTCCTGGTTCAACAATGATCAGTCCTCAGCTGGTGCTAATCAGCAAGTAAAGTCCTCAGGGATGGAGCCAGCAGGCCCCACAGCTGCCCTTACCTGAGTGAACTTGATGGTGAAGATGGCATGAGACCTGCTACTGACATCATTCATCCCAGTTGCTGCTGTGGTACGATTGATATTTCCTGCATCCATAAGTTCTTCCACATCACCATAATTCTGTACTAAATGTTTGGATAAATCTGGGGGGAAAAAGAGGGAGGTAAAGAAATCCCATTATATAGTAACTGAAAAAATTTCCTTCTATGAAATAATGCATGTCAACAAATCTGCTGAGCTATCTGAAGACCTTACCAGTTTCTACAGTTTGGTGGCATATAATGCACTCAGGAGCTGGACAAGTTGGTTAGTCTCACTGGGCCTCAATTACCCCATCTTATATTGTGTACCTATTACATAGGGTATTTAGGATGTTAGCTACTGACATAAATCTCTTAGCATTAGTAACAGCACAAAGAACAAAAATGTAAAAGCACTGTATTCACATAAAATCTGGGCATTTTAAAGCATTTAAAATATATGTGTGTACATATATATTTTTGAAGGGAGGGGGAACATTCATATACTTCCAACTCCTCTGCTGTAGCTCCTTCCTTTTCTGTCAGGCAAACAAATATTATCAGTACTTCCATACCCCTCTAGAAACAGCTCATATGTGTATAGGCAATTGTGTGTGTGTGTGTGTGTGTAGGCAAGTGTGTGTATGTGTGTGTGTGAGTGTGTGTGTGTAAATAAACCCACTTCCCCCACTTCATAAAAATGGGAGCATACTTGGCTTGGGGTGTAGCTCTTTGGTGGCCCTGGCACTTGGCATGCATGAGGCCTGGGTTTAACTCAGAGAAAGCCACACAAAAAAAGAAAGAAAATTGTATACCATAAAATTATTTTTCACCCTTCTTGTCTTAATGTAATGAAAATATATTAAAGAATATTCTGAGGCTGGAGTTATAGCTAAGTAATAGTGTGCTTGCCTAGCATGTACGAGGCTCTGGATTCAGTCCCCAGCACCTCAGAAACAATGCATATCATAAACATTATTTTGCAACCTGCATTTTTTTAATGCAATGATACATAAAGAATAGTCTGAGGCTGGGGGTGCATCTCAGTGATGGAGTGCCTGTCTAGCATGTGCATGATCCTACCATTGAAAAAAAACAAAAGCAATATTCTGTATCAGTTAAGGAGATTTCTCATTCATTTTTAAGGATTCAGAGCTTTCACTGAAGTATGTACTGTAACCAATTTAACCAATCTCCTATTGAGACTATAGAGGTTGTTTACATATTGTGTTCAATTACAAGTAATGTGACTACAAATAATCTCATACATAGGTCTTTTCAAATGTGTGGGAATGTTTCCACAAAATAAATTCTTAGAGATGGAATTGCTAAAACAAAGGGCATTTGAAATTTTGATACATTTTGCAAAATTGTCCTTCACAAAGGGCAATTTACATCTAACAGTGGCAATGTATAAAAAGGCTGTCTTCCAATACCCTCCCAATGCTCTTATCAGACTCATTTACAGCTGCCAAAGATGGGTGACAAATATCATCCCCAAAGTATTTTTATTTTACTTTCTTCTATCATGAGTGAGGGTGAGCATTCTTTCTTGCTATTTAAAAAGCACCAGTATTTCCATTTCTATGAACAATCTGTTTACATTCTTTTACTTGTTTGATTGTCCTTATTGATCTTTATGCGCTTTTCATATATTAGGAAAATTAATGCTTTATCTGAAATCTGAATTAAAAATATTTCCCCATTTTGTAATTTAGCTTTTTCCTGTGTTTACAGTGTCTCTGATTGTTTTTTACTTTTTACCATTTCAAATTTGACAAATCTGTTTTATGGTTTCTGGATTTTTCACATTTTTAAATGCCTTCCCCTTCCAAGTTTCTGAAAAAAAATTAATCGATAGTGTCTTGTAGTTATTATATTATTTTCACATATAAATCTTTGATCCATTTACCATTTATCCTGCTATAAAATCTGAAGTATGACACTAGTTTACTTTTTCTTCGCCCAGAAAACTTAATAATCCATACTCCTCCAATGTTTGTATATTTGTTAAAAACTAAATTCCCAGAGCTGGAGATGTAGCTGAGTGGTGAAGTGTTTTGCCTGGCATGCATAAGGTCCTGTGTTCAATGTCCAACATGTGTGCACACCTTCACATTCAAAAAAAAAAAAAAAAAACTAAATCCCCATAGGTATCTACATCAGGATACAGGATACTCTTTTTGATCACCAACTCTTCATATACCAGTTTTATATGTTTTAACATTTAATAATGCAATTAAAAGAAAACATAAGGACATAAAACATAAAAACATAAGCTAAAAACTATCAACCATAATAGCTATCTACCATGCTATCATAAACCTCATGGTTGCATATATTACTGTGGGAATGGAAGGCAAAAGTGCAAATAAAAATTTAATATAATTCAGATGGGGTCCTTATGGTATACCTGATATCTTTTTCAATTCCCCTGGGGATTAAACCCAGGGACACTTAACCACTGAGCCACATCTCCAGCCCTATATTATATTTCATTTAGAGATAGGATCTTAATGAGTTGCTTAGCACCTTGCTTTTGCTGAGGCTGGCTTTGAACTTGCAATCCTCCTCCCTCAGCCTCCCAAGCCACTGGGATTACAGGAGTGTGCCACTGTGTCTGGCCACCTGATATCTTGAGGTTAAAAAAAAAAAAAGGCAACCCAAAATAGGTATATCTTTGAACCCCAAAACAGATCGCAGTCTGGCCTCCAATGAATCACACATGAAAAACTAAATCCAAACAAAAAAGCTTGTCTCCCTCTATGTGCAAAGCCTGTAGACCAGCCAAGACTCAGCTTTCTTATGCTGAGTGAGATTAGCTTCTTTACAAGGATGGCCTAAAAGCCAGCCAATTTTTTTTTTTTTTTAAATAAGAAGCCAAGGCCAGTTTCTTCCCCGTCATTCTGCAGTATTTCCCACAAGTGACTGTGCAATACTAGTGTATCTCAACACAGATGCTGAGTGCCACACAGAGGAATCCTGTTAAAGCTCTTCTTAACAAACAGTAGGTCTCACAATATCTTTCTTGCCATAAAACATCACTAGAATCAGTAAAGGTACACTGCTAAAATGCCACACTATGGAAAGATACAGGATACAGGCTTGCTTATCTAGCCTAAGAACACTGGAAAACAAATTCTGAGAGATTGTTTTAAGCCAAAGGAAATCTATTGGCAAGCCTCAGGAAATCAGTAAACATCTTGTGAAGTATGAATTCATTAGATGAACACTGTGTAATGACAGCTCACATCATTTTTACTATAATAAAATTCCAAAAGTAAACAAATTCTTAATTTTCACTATTACACTAATTTTTTTCTTCAAAAGCTTTATTTTTACACAAATCCTCAGGAAGAACAGGGATGCAAAATATTCATTCTTACCCTCAACATAAGGTCCTTCTTTTGGATGCTCACGAACTCTTAAATTGAAGGTTTTAGATGACTTCCGTCTAAGTAGATCTCTTACACGTTCATTATAAATTTCTAAGTAGCTAAAAATTTTAAACAAAATGGAATTCAAAAAATGATTTCAGGCACTGACAACAATAACAAGACTCATAATAACAGCAACTTCAACTTATGAGAGGTAATTGTATCATATACAATGCTAAGCACTTTATTTGACTATTTCATTTAATCCCTAAAATAGCTCAGTAATAGGTACTTCTATTATTCCCATTTTATAGGTTAAACAAAGGAGATCTAGAGTGATTTAAATAACTTTTCCAAAGCCCCAATACCACCAAAGAGGGCCAAATAGCCATGAGAAAGACAAGTGACATATCTGCCCTCAAAACCACTGAAGAGACAAGCTCCCAAACAGGTTTAATTTCAAAGAGGAAAAGCACCAGGGCCACCAGGTTTATTTATAGGTTAGATTTAGAGTGATTTGGCCAACATGAAGAATAACACAAACCTTACTCAGCCAAAAGAATGAGGAAAGTAATTGGGTATATTCGTAAAAGTCAAAGGCTAACTCCATTTGAGATAAACATCAAATGCTATAGTTTCCAACTGAGCTATGTTATTTCTGATCCAAACTGTACCCAAGAAAGTCATTGAAAAGCTAGTGTTTTCAGCTTTATTCACAACCACTGTAAGTACAGGAGAGGAAAAAGCAGACTCTTTCCCTAAGAAAGGCTAGTACTTCAGCACAAACCAAGCAGCCTTGGCTCCAACCAAGCTCTCACTTGCTCACGGCATCAAACCCTACCTGACTTCAGTCCGAAAAGATGCTTCATCCCATCTGGTGGTTTCATTTATCCGGCTGAAGAGCCCTTCACAGATCCGAGGTATTAAGCCCAAATCACCCTGCAATGAGAAGGAAAAATGCCACAGCTGTCATTTGAAATAAAAATAACTGACAACTGAATTTGCATTTTGCTGGAATGGAACTGGACTCCGAGGGCCTGTATGCCAACCCCAGCCTGCCACCCAAGGACCCTAGACACAATTTACCCTCGGCAGGACTGCTTATTCTCTGAAATGAGAGCATTGAAACCTTCTATTTCTACATTCTGAGACTTGGACAATATGTGATTATTAGAAGTGAACCAGTTAAATAAGCTTGCAAAGATATGGAAACTTATTCTCTATAAAACAAGACTATGTCCAACTGCAAAATAAATGTTAAAAATATCTAGTTAAATGACACAGAAAGAGAAATATACATCAGGAAGAAAAGAAACACTAAGAAAGCTTTAGTAAGTCCTCAAGATTATTACTAGCTGTCTTAAAACATAGATAAGAGAACCATATTAAAACATGTAATTTATGTCTCATTTTGATGCAATGGCCTCCCTAGAAAAAATTTAATACATCATATCACTTTGCAACGTGGGTATCATATTCAATAATCATGTTTTGGTCAGCATTAATCTGGTAAGCATCACAATGGTACAAGATAAGGCAAAATGTTCTCATGGAGTCCCAAACAACACCACTCCTCGTGATTAGCGTGGCACTTTTTTTTTTAAATAAACTATCATACCCTAAATATAGAAAGAACACCCAAGAAGTACTTACCTGTAAGGTCAGAGAAAAATACCTATCATTTATGAGCACTAGCTTCTAGGAATCAACAAAATTCATACATGGGGTTTTTTCTCCCCAAAGGCATAGTAAGGAAGCAGGAAAAAAGAAGTGATAAGAAAAAGTAAATGCAAAATTCTTCAAATATTGTTTGCAGCTCTCATTTGTTCTGCTTTACTTTTCAGCATTTAGGATGCATAGCACGACACGTACATCATTCTACTTTAAAAGAGAAGCCTGAGTTTAAGATGTCACTCTAAGTGCACTGAAGTAAGTTCATCTGGGAAGCCCTGCTCTCCTCCAACACACTACTTCCATGAACCACCAAACCTTTAGCATTGAGGACACCACCACTCCTGCTGGCAGGAAGCCCTCAAGTTCTGCCAGAATCTCTACATCTAGAACACGTAACAGGTTTGGCAGTCACTGAATAGTGCTTTTGCTGTGACATAAGAAAACACATGCAAACAATGTCTAAATTTGGATAAAACATAGAACAAGATAAAATTCCAACAATCCTGTCAACTTTTCATTCCTTCATAGTTTGGAGCAAGTGTAACATTGATATCTGTTAATTTACATAGATAAACTAATGAACTATATAAACTATGTTGATTCCCATATAAAGTACACTACGCTTATAAACTATATGTAGACTATGTAACTCTAACTTTTTTAATGTATTTACTGGATTTATGAAATACCTTTCCATCAAAAAGTTAGATTTATTTTTTACATTTTTTACTTGAGGGAAAATGTTCTGAATAATTTTAAAAAGAACAGACTTCAGTATTTTTATTCAAACTTTTATGTTGGCAGAAAAGGAGAATAAATTACTTGTGGGCCCAGCATATTTTCTTGATAAGATTATAAGGCCTTTAAAAACAGAAAATGAACTGGGACTTGCATCCATTATTCATACTTATATACTTAAAACTATTTCTAATTTAAAATCTCTCAAAGGAAATTTAGTCCAACTTATTACTGACTTTTATCTTATTACACAAAAATAATCAGAACATGAAAAGCATGTTACTACAGATCAAGTAGATAAAAAGATAATTCTATCAGTTCAGAGGAAGATAAGAAATTCCTTCCCACGCAAACAACGTACAGAATTTCCCATCATAGTGTATGACTTTCCAGATCCAGTTTGTCCATATGCAAAGACACAAGCATTATAACCTTCAAATGCAGATTTCACCACATCTGTGCCAAGGGTTTTGAAAACCTGCAAGACAGAAAAAAAACCAGACACACACAAAACACAAAAGATACAATTACCATGGATTTTAATAAAAACCCCTGCAGTGCTGACAATGTTCTTGAATGCTACTTTCATCTCTTAAGGATTATACCATACAAATAAATCACTGCAGGACTGTTAACAACAGAATATGTATGTACCCTAATTTTTAATCAAAAGTAAACTTTTAAGCAAGCAAAAAGCAACCCCATCCTCTTTCCTACTTAATCAAAGTAAACAAGCCAAAGTGATAATCATGTCTAGAAGCAAAAAAGATTTTAAAAGCATGATGATTTACCATTCATAAATATATATTTATAAAGCTATTCATTCTATCAGAACTTCTAGAAACGAATATTCAAAACCTGAAGGTCACAGTAGCAATAAATTATTGCCTGAACCATGCCAAATCCAAGTCCTCATTTTTAAGGGTCCAGGTTCACAGAGATAAATCTCTGAAGGTTTTCCTGAAACTGAGTGATAGACTGGTATAAATGAGGCCAGGATGGCTGGATTCCCTCATGACAGAGTCCAGATGCTTTCTCCTGTTGGATATCTGCCCAGGACGGAGAGGGTGGTAGACAACCTGTGTGGGGATTGGGGTCATACCTACAATGGTCTGAGTCCATGTCCATGCACCACATAATTGCAATTTGGAGAGTAAAAGAAGATGAAGTACAAATAATTCAGGAAGACAACTAATGTAAATTAGACAAACCAAGAAGTGAAAGACTAGTTATATCCAGCTGGGAAGGGGTGAACCAAAGCTTTAGTGTTACTTCCTGTCTTCTAAGCCCAGTACACTAAGGGCACATCTAATTTTTCCCTGCTTCAAACATAGGAACATCAACAACTAAAAGATGTCAGTTATCTTCACAGTACCATAAAATGGTGAAGAATTCCTAGGTGAAATCTCCACAGTCCAAAGTGGGAACCTTACCCACTTTCTGAGTTAATTTCCTGCAGAAATGACCAGCCTGTGAGTGATATCCATTAGCCAAAAAACAAGAGACCCAATTAGATTAACCACAAAGTCATCTCCAACTACTACCAAAGGGCTGAGAGCAATATTTCCTAACTATGCTACACCTGAGAATCACCTGGGACACTTCAAAGAGTTCCACAGGCCAGGCTGGTGACCCAGCTTAATGAAATGCAATCTAAGGGCTGTAAACCCAGGAATCAGTATCTTATAATGCTCCCCAGGTGATTCAAAATAAGCAAAACAGGTAAACCTGGCCATCTTCATCTCAAATCCACATTAGTAGTAGTAGTAGTAGTAGTAGTAGTACCAGGAATTGAACTCAGGGATGCTTAACTACTGAGCTAAATCCCCAGCCCTTTATATTTTTTATTTTGAGACAGGGCCTTGCTAAGTTGCTTAGGGCCTCATTAAGTTACTGAAGCTGGCTTTGCACTTGTGATCCTCCTGCCTTAACCTCCTGAGCTACCATGCCTAGTTCATATCCAAATTTTTAAAAATCCTATTAATAACACCTGCCATCCCTGGACAAAATGAAAATATAGCCAATTGAACTTCGGCTTTCTCTAGACATCTTCCTCCCAGCATCTTGTTTGGACTTTGTTTCCTCGTTCTCAAGGAGGTGAAAGATTTACAAACTACCACTTCAATTGAGTCATTTCCACAGATGGCCAAGGTCATTCCTTCTGAGTTAATTTCTACTCATTTCAGCTTTACAACCTGATATTTTCTGACCTTATTCTCAAATTCTGATGCTGTACTCAATTTCCAATTATAACAGTGGCTCACTGGGCACTTTCTATACAATTTCATGTGTTCATGTATTAATCCTCATGAAATTACTACAGGGTGAGTGGCATTACCAGACCTCAAATGAGGAAGGTGAAAGAGAGGGTTAGGGAAGTGAGCACCTGCTAGTGGGTGGCCAAGCTGGGACCTCAACCAGGTCTTTCAGACTCCAAAGGTTTTATGGTTATATGTCCTCTTCCCAAACCCTCTAAATTGACAATGAAGTCCTAGACCCCTCTGGAAGCACTCCTCCTCAAACTTCTGTTAAGAAGCATAATCCCAGGGAGACTAAGGCCTCCAAACCATCAGTCTGAGATTCATTTTCATCACTACACTTGAGTAAAAACTCTAAAATATTTCTCCAATTTCTTCCTTCTAAACAAAAAAGAAAAATGAGGCAAGATCATTTCACTGGATAGGGACACCTTACAAAAAGTTCTCAGAGGATACAAGATGGATCTTCTCTTACAGTTTGGCCTAGGGATAAAACAATGTCATACTTATATCAAATCCAAATGCTACCACAATGAAGTTCTTCCCTAGGATTAAAATTCATACCCACCATTTTATTATTACTTTTATTAGAAAGCTAACCCAAATGGTTTTCTGAGGTATATGTGCATGAGTGCTTGAGTTTGAGACTAGTGGACATGATACCAAAAGGGGTCTAGAAATTGCAGTTCTGGAGGTGTAGAGATCATGCCAGACTCATTCTCAGTTTCAGGTAACCCACCCACAGCCAGCTGAGACCTGAGAAGCAGCAAGCACTACCTGCATCTCGAGAGGTCTTACAAGGAAAGACCATCCGGCTCCCACCAAAGACTAATCTAAAAATCTGCTACAGATGGGAAGGGAAGGTCAGCTTTAATAGACTGAGCATTCCACTGGCAGCAAAATTCTGCCAAAGTCCCTCACCTGGCCCAGGTTACCTCAAATCCACCTAGCTGCATATGGAAGCACAGACTTGACTTCACAGCTGATTTCCAGTGTAATCAAGGCATCACAGGGCCTTGCTGGAGGAGAATTGCCCACAAGAGGGCGCTGCTAAAACAAAGACTCTCCCATCCTTCCTGCCCACGGGAGATCTTTTAAGTTTCAGGTTTCTCCAGGGTTGAATTAAGGAATGGGTTGTATGAGATCAAAGGCTCATTTTGGAGTTTTGAAGAACCATTAAGAAAATTAAACTTTATTTAATATTTTACTAATGTTTTTAATTTACATGACTATAAATTTTAATTGCTCTTTTTTTCTCATTCTAAAATAATGGTCATCTTACCTGGTATTTGTTTAATGTCAATGGTCATCTTACCCAACATTCATTTAACATCAAGGGAAACTTGACTTGAGCTCTGGTAATAGGCATGATATATTTTCACAATACAGTTTTACATTCAACTGATTAAAGAGAGAGCAAGTAAGCATCATGTTAATTTGAGTCCTTCCCTGATTATAGCAGGGACAGCTCACCTAGATAGTCTAAAATGTCAGCACAAAAACTTTAGTCAATATTTAAAACTGAAGCCCTTTTTTAATAACAACAGGTGTTAAAATTAGGAATGAAGGACAGACATTCTCCTTAACAGAGTATTTTTTTGGATTTTTTTATTTTTATTATAATTTTTTATTTATTTTAATTAGTTACACATGACAGTACAATGATCTTGACATATCATAAATTTGAATCAGATGGGATATAATTTCTCATTTTTTGAGTGTACAGGTTGTAGAATCACATTGGTCATGCAGTCACATATATACACACAGCAATAATAATGTCTATTTTATTCTGCTGTCCTTCCTTCCCCCCCTTTCCCTTCCCCTCCCCTCCCATCACTTCTCTCTACCCAATCTAATGTGATACACTTTTTTCCCCCTCACACCTTCATACATGTATTCTGTATAACGATGAGGGTCTCCTTCCATCTTCCATGCAATTCCCCTTCTGCCTCCCTTTCCCTCCCTATCTAGAAGCAATCTTCTTCTCATGTTCTTTCTCCCTACTCCATTTTGAGTCACCCCCCTGATATCAGAGAAGACATTTGGCATTTGTTTTGGGGGGATTGGCTAAATTCACTTAGCATAATCTGCTCTAATGCCATCCATTTCCCTGCAAATGCCATGATCTTGTTATTTTTTAGTTATGAGTAATATTCCATTTTGTATAAATGCCACATTTTTTTATCCATTCATCCACTGAAGGGCATCTAGGTTGGCTCCATAGTCTAGCTATTGTGAATTTTGCTGCTAAAAACTTTGATGTGGCTGTGTCCCTTAACAGAGTATTTTAAAGATAAATCTCACCAGGCAAGGTAGCACACACCCATAATCCCAGTAACTCAGGAGGCTAAGGCAGGTTCAAAGTTACAGTAATTCAGGAGGCTAAGTCTAAATTCAAAGACAGCCTCAGCAAAGTGCTAAGCAACTCAGTGAGACCCTGTCTCTAAATAAAATACAAAATAGGGCTGGGGATATGACTCAGTGGTCGAGTGCCCCCTAAATTTAATCCCTAGTATCCAAAAAAAAAGGATAGATATCTTCCTGAATCTATTACGGCTTATTGACATGAGGTTCTACTACACAATGTTTTAACAACTGTACCTCAAAGCTCTCTTAGTTTTGTAATTGAATGGAACAATCTCAGGTTACTCACCTAAATACCGGAAGTATTTGGGAAGACATGCTGCACATATACCTAAAGCACTGAAGTTACCTTTACCTGTTGAAAGAGTTTCATAATCTTGAACTCTTTCTAAACTCCAGGCATTTATTTTTAGCCTCCAGAAGAGCTAATCTTTTACCTGCTTCCCTAATCTTAACTCTTATAAAGCCCAGGAAATGTCTGTTCCATAAATTAACCACCATCTGTAAACCAGTTCACTGGGTCAGCAAATATTTACTTACTGTGCCAGGTCCTGCTGTCACACAATGCTCTATTTTTCTATCCCCAGGCTTTCCCCCAGCACAGCCCTCTGTCCACAGGACCTCAAATTCAGAATAAATGGGGAAAATCTAGCAGCTCAATAAACAAGTTTAAAAAAGAGGACCTTTGAGGCTCTTCATTCATCCTGTTTTGAAGAGATTCTAGAGATCACCACACTAAACTGTTTTTTCCATTAACAAATTCCCTTTTACCGGCCCCTTTATTCCCATTCCTATAATAAAGCCTAAGTCTAGATTCCAATATCTACAACATTCTCTCTCTCACCATACTATCTACAACACTGACTAAACCCAGTGTTAACCAGTCACCTTGACACTAAGGTCATCTCCTCTCACTCACCCACTCTCATTTATTTGGCTAACATACCGTCCTATCCACTTGTCCTCTAGAACATGCCACTCAATTCCTTCCATACCCTAAGAGTTTCCAGTGGCTTCTCCACACCCTGTACAGGAGCCCCAGGTTCTCAACTCTGCTACTATTCAAAGTCAATTAAGTCTATGAACTTGAGCAAGTTACTCAAGACTCTAAGACAAAGAAAAATGGAGTTAAAATTTACCTCATTTGATTCTAATGATGATTAAATAAGACAGCACACATAACACCAGAGTGTCTGACACCAATGCAAACTCAAGCAACATCAGTTCATCTTTTCTCTCCCAAACCTCTTTCACGCAGGCATCTCCTCTCTCTCTAATGGTTCCTATTCTCATCACTCTTGTCCCTTTCTGTTTTGCCCTGATGTTTGATTTCACACCTTGTAGATAGTCATTCCTGTCCTCCAACTTCAATCCTTACCTTGCCTCAGAAAACCAAATCTCCACAAATCACTTATAAACCAACTACATTTTTCAAATGTTAAGGTGCATGCAAATCACTGAGAACCTTACTAAAAAAAAAAGCAAAGATTTTTTTAGGCAAGGCATGTTTTTCTTTATATAAAAATTTTTTTAAAAATAAATATCTTGAGGGCTGGGGATGTGGCTCAGGCGGTAGCGTGCTCGCCTGGCATGCGTGCGGCCCGGGTTTGATCCTCAGCACCACATACCAACAAAGATGTTGTGTCCACCAAGAACTAAAAAATAAATATTAAAATTCTAAAAAAAAAATAAATAAATAAATAAATATCTTGAAATATAACATCATACCATTTCTTGTGAAATGTAATCTGGACTCTTCGTATCAGCAGAATAAAAAGAAAAGTCATAGGTGAAGGTCTTGATCCGTTCTCTTCCTGAGTCCCCGGTCCCTCCTTCTGGTATCTTGAAAAGAAGATAATAATAATGATAAACAACAACAATAATAAAAAGAATAATAACAATGAAACTATAAAGAGTACTGTCATTTGACAAGTGACCCAAATTAGGAAGAAAAAAAAATCTGTTCCTAAAATGATCACTATATTTTCATATTTATACCCTAAGAAGCATTTAATTACTTCTGGTCTCCCTAAAAAAAATTGAACAAATAAAACTTAAATACAATCTCAATTCCCCACCCCATGATCTGAGTTCTTTGTGATACCCACAGCTATTATTCTTGTGTTTTTATGATTAACCTACATGAACCCAATGCTCCAGTCAGACTCTGTTTTTCCATCTTCAATGAGTTTTACTATTCCCTCCACCAGAGTTCACCCCAAAGCTGGGCTTTGCACAACCCCAGGGAATGCTAGTCATACAGACTATGATGGGACTGGTACCCCTAGAGTTGTGCAATTTGGTGGCTCCTTGAAAACTCCAGGTCAGATGTCTCCCCTTCCATGAAGCTTTCTTAATGTGCTCTATACAGAAATAATTTCTCTCACCTCTGAAAAGCAAACCTCTCCTAAGACATATCATGTTGTGAGTTTAAAACAGATGTATGCATATCTCTTGTCTACCATGCTATATACTTAAATTGAACCCTGTTGTGAGCCATCCATGGGCTGTGTGAGCTATGCACATTTGAACGTATGAGGTGACTGATCTGGTGTTACACAGTCTCTTGGGCTGTGTGGTGCATGTATGCCTTTTCTCTTGCTCTGCTGTGATCCTACACAGCACCTGAGATGGATGTGACTTGCCAAGATGTCAGTCAATCTGCTGACCATAAGACATCACCAAGCAAGACTCTACCCTTCCAAACCCAATCCCTTGCATTATTTGGGTGGAATTTTCTATTGAATGTCTTTCTCCTAAATAAATAGAGGGGTTCGGGTTGTGCTCTCTCTCTTGCCTCTTGCCTCCCTTGCTCCCATTGCCTCCAGCATGGGAGCTGACACCTGAGGTCGTAGAGCCATCCCTGACCTCCCAAAAAGATATTTCTGTGTTTGAGTAATTTTTAGTTGCCAGGCCAGCCAGCTGGTGACAGAACCCAAAAGTCATATTTTAAAATCTCCAGGGGAGGGAGAAGGGTGGGAAGTAAGAGGGGGGATCATGAACTGAAATCAATTTCCATGCATGTAATAAGTTTGTCGGGATGAACCCACTGCTATGTTATAACCATAAAGCTCTAATAAAAAAAACAAACAAATAAATAAATAACAAAAATCTTCATATGTCCCAAAAGTCTCACATACTTTATTGGACATACTCTAAATAACTTCACTAAGCACCATACTTTTCAACATGATTCACATATTAAGAAGAAATAAGTGCTAAAACACTAACAATTAAAGTAATAACATAATAAAACATTAAAAATCCAGGCGTCCATTCTGGTTATTCAAACATTGGAGGAATAAATGTTTGTAAAACACAAAAAGCAACAGGATACATAAAGAAAGGAGGTGCACCTGAGGCCAGGGTCTTTTACCAAAGCACTGAGAACACAAACATGAAGCAAAGCACAGGTCCCTAACAGCAGGGAGTAGATGAGTGATGATGGGTACAAAACCAATAATAAAAAAAAAATTAAAAAAAGAAAGCTGAGAGAGGGAGGGAGGGCTTAGTGTATGCTAGAAAGGGCCAGGACACAAGAGAACTGTGCTAAGTGGGGGAAAAAAAAAAAAAAAAATTCCAGTAGAGAATGCCTAGGGCAAAGGGACCCAGAGTCCCAAGGAAGCCTATCAGTTATCCAGTGCACTGCCTGACTGGGACAGGAGCATCCCCAGCTTCCATCACTGGAGATCAAGTTGCATGACTCTAAAAATGGATCTAATAGTGTTCAATTCCTTGGACCACAAATTAATAGAAATGCATTCCTCAGACATGACCTGGAGACTGACCTGTACTTGGCCACAGAGCAGCAGAACTCAGAAACCCAAATCTGTCTGTTAATGACAAATATCAAAGGTGAAACCCATAAAGCACATTATTTCCTTATTATTAAGTCCACACCCTTGCTTTCACTCTAAGTAAAGTGCCCTCTGGATCCTCAACAAATGGTCAAAGAAACAAACAGTATATTTTAAGGACAAAAGAAAGAATTCATCATTGGGGAAACTTGCTTTTTTTTCTGTATGATTTTTTCTAGAAAGTAATGCAAGTATTATTTTTTAATCTTTCATCTCCCAAGTTTTGAATAATAGCATCAGTTCTTCTTCAAGGATTATAAAACATGATAATCTTCATTAAAAATGTTAACAAATCTAAGGGTTAAACTTCCTCAGTACTGCACAGTCTACAGCTCTACTACAAGTTCTCAGGATGAAAAGACCTGGCCTTGCTCCATACCCTGAAGCTCGAGGATCAGAGCATTTGATCTCTTCCAGATCAAATGAAACAGGGCATGGGGGAGGAAACGGCCATCCACTCTTCTGCTTCACGGCCAAGCCCCAGCCTACAGCATGCTGACGTGGCCACCTGACCTGAGAAAGGAGAGTGCAGAAATGACAGACGTGTTGTATTGACCCACAAGCGAGCCCCACTGCAGTGTAAACATGAGCCTTCTAGAACTGGAGCAGGGCAAAGTCACTACTTGCCTTCAAGTTTGTGATTGTTGTTTTGCTTTTCTCCATTTGAATAATGAACTTGGCCTCCAAGTCCTTTTCCCTGCAACACAAATAATAACAATATTGGTTAAGAAAAGAAAAGTTCATTTTTAAAAATTGTTTCATTAACTTTGTACAGGCAGGGATTTGTTTTTAAATAGCATCTGAAAAGCAATCCCTCATAGCATTACTATCAAATCCTTATTAATACTATAAGACATGAAGACACACACAAGAGTGCTACAGTTAAGAACTATGTCTAATGATGTGTTATCAAAAATCTATAAGAACTTCTGTGAAGATTTTAATGACAGAGAGAGAGAGAGAGAGAGAGAATGAATATGAAATGACCGAAACCATGAAGCACCAAGCCTCATAAAAAAAAAAAAAAAAAAAAAAAAAAAACTAAAAAAAAAACAGCCCTACCAACCCAGGTACAAAGAAAAAGATACTTTATCCCTCCGCCCAGGATAAAAACTAAGATAAAAACTACAGCAGTCACAACCAGGTACTGGGTACAGCCCCCTCCTCTCACCACCTTTTCACATTCTTTAAAATTTCATTTCCTAGAAAACAGCAGAACAAGAAGTGAAGTAATTGCTACAATTAGAATTCTCCAGAATCAATGACCATACATCTATACAGTGGAGTATTATGCCACTCAAAAGGAATGAGGAAGATGTCAACATGCTGATATTGTGCAGTGGCCAAGATACACGGTTATGAGAACGAAAGGTGGAGAAAAGCACACAGATGGTCCTTGGTTTACGATGGCTTAACTTCCCATTGTTGGACCATACAACAGTGTGAAAGCAATACACTTTCAATGGAAACCATAATTTGCATTTTTAATTGTGGCCCTTTCCTGGGCTAGCAATATGTGGCCCAAACCTCTGGCAATGCTGAGTAGCAGCAGCAAGCTGCAGCTCCCAGGCAGCCACTCAATCATTATGAGAGTAAAAACCACATTAAAATAAAAAGGATGACCTAAGTATTTTTCCAAAGGCTATCTATGGAGAAAGAAGAAACTGGAGTATAATGATGAGAACACACATCATCTTCTTTTTGTGGTCTTCTCTTCTCCCCCAAGGCCCCTAAGTATCAGGGTGACTTCCAGGTCCACGTAACACTCCATCAAACAGCCTTACCCTTCCTGCCCTACTCAACATTCAGGTACCTAGTCTTGTCCAAACTAACACCTACTGACCTTGAACACATCTCCCCATTCTGCAGCCACTGTCCCAGTCAAGTCACCACCACCACTTTCTAGTCTTGTCCCCTCCCACCTACACTCTATTCTCTGCTGCCAGAGGGAGCCTTCCAAAATACACATCTCACCATGAAGCATCTGCTTTAAAACCCATCAAGGACTTCTCAGAAACTACAGGATAAGACCAACTCTTATGATCATACTCTAACACAAACTGTCATTTTAACACTATATCCTGTCTCACCCCCTTTCTCTGGCCAACTTCCGGCCATTCCTCTGGGCTGGGTTCAGACTTCACATACTCTGAACAGCCTTCACCAAGCACTCTGCTTTATCCTTAGTTAGATGGCCCTTCTGCTCATCTCACTCCTGGACTGTGAACTTAAAAGCGAGACTCTCAGCCTGTTGAGTTCACACCCTACACCCTTTGGCACAGTGCCTGCAACTCTGACATGGTCATAAATTGATTTCTGCTTGTGCTGGATTAACTGAATTATTAAATGAATGGCTCTTACCCCAGCCTACTCAGCAATACTCATCCTCTACTACAGGGATCTCCCTACTGGCTCCCTCCCATTCTTGGTTCTTGCCTTTCCACACACTACGATATCTTCCTATCCACATCCTCAAGCAAGGCTTGCCTCAGGCTAGTCTCCTCCTAATAAACCTTCAGAAATATCCCTCCTACCCCTACCTACCTAGCTCATCCCACTTATGAGGGTTTCATCTTTAATTATATCATCTCTCCAATTCATCCAGAGAAACAAGAACCCAGCTTCCTTCACATCCACACCTGATTCCGCCGAGCACAAGGACAATGCTCACAACCAGTCCTGAGAGCAATGACTTTTAATCCTTCAGCAGAGAACTGTAGAATACCAGGCTCTGAGAGTTCCATGGCCTCAGGTCAATTTCCTCTGACATTTAAGAAACATGGGAAATAAATCTTGACATTTTTCTTATATTGAGGAAAATAAATAATCCTAAAATATTATTTGAACATTGACTTAATAATAGAGCAAAATGAACTATGTCGCTCCCTGGCCACTTTGGTGAATTGGGTTTCTCAACCGAAAAGTCAATTATGGTCCCTTCATATAAATAAGTAATTTATTTGAAAGGCCTGGAAACTAGATCATAAGATGTTACAAATGAGCCTGCTGGAGTAAGGATACTGAGTTATACATCAATATTGGAGGGTTTCAGGGAGGAAAGAACAGGAAAAGATTTAAAATATCCAATCAGGAAAAGAGATAAATTATGTCAGCTCTCAGATATGTGAGTAGGGAAATGTTTATTAGGAAAAAAAACACTATGTTCATCTAAATATTTCAAAAATGTTTTTTTAATTATTCAGCAATTCAAATTGATCCCACCCATTCAGCTAATGGTTTTTGGTCACTCCATGAAGCACAGCTAAACTGGCAACGCTGGGCTCTCCAAAGTGAGCCATTAGTTTATTTCCCCCAAGTCCTGAAACAAACCAGCATTCTTCTATTCACCTTAAAAGTTAATATACTATGAACCAATATTTAACTGCCGCCAGTTAAATATAATAGCAATATATATAGCAATAATAAATAGCAATAATATATAGCAATAATAAAATTAAAACTATATTTTTAAATCAAGAGCTCCACTGGTAACAATATGGAAAGCAGCCCAAGCAATATTATAAGTGGGAGAAAGATGAAGTGGCAAAACAGCATGTCAATGGTGATTAAGTTTGCAGCTCAATAAAAGTATAAACAAAGTCAAAAGAATATGCACATCTATGCCTCTGAACATTTCTGAAACGATAAATGGAAAGTCATTTGCAGTTGTAACCTCTGGAGAGAGAGAGCACGAAAGCAGGACCTCGGGGGATAAGAAAATAAACATTTCAGTGTTAGAAATACTTTAGCATAATTCGATAGTGCTTTTATAATTAAAATGAGTCATTTAATAATAAAACACCAGCAGCTCCTCAAGCTCTAGGACAAGTCCATGGGACACTCCTCACCTGACAGCCCACTCAGAGCCCTACAGAGGACAAGGCCCCTCTGGCCTTGCACTTCCACCCTCCCCCACCCCCAGGCCCTTGGTCATTCTCTGGCATTGCCTAGTTTTGCCCCTGCCCTTCTCTACCACTCTACATTCCCACCAGGCAAAATGATGCCCAAGATTCAAAACCATCCCCAAGTTCCTTTCTCAGAGAACACTTCTGATCCCTTAGGCTCAAAAAATGACTCAGTTTCTCAGCTCTACTCTATGACACTTCTTTTTATTTTTTTAAGAGTTCCAGATGAAACACAGAATGCCCAATTAAACTGAATTTCAAATAATCACCAAACAATTTCTTTGTATAAGTCTGTCCTAAATATTGCATATTACATACTCACACTTCATTTTTGCCTACTAACTCAGACATCATCACCACCTCTCAAAGCCTGTGCACTCATCAGGACCTTCGCAGTTGGATGCACATATATTCACCTCCTACCCAAGCCCAAACTGCATGTGAGTGACACTTCAATACCATGTAGTAGTAAAGGTTTCAGAAAAATGTGTCACCTTTATCTCAAAGTCTGGCATCAAACCCAGGGAGAATCACTATATTCCCTGAAGCCCTTTCTTCCTAATGCTACACCTTGTCCTTTCTGGCTGATCCTCAGCACTTGAAACAAGATTATCAAGAGAAGTTAGTACACAACCAGGGACCATTGACTACTCTTAGTTGCTCTCCATGAAATCATAAAAGCCTTCAGCTTAACTTCTGAGAAAAACCCAGGGGAAAGTATACTGAAAAAATAAATCCTAGAGTGGGTTTTTCAGGCAATCACCCTGACTTCATTTCAGTTTCTCAGAACAGGCCTCGCCTCACCTCACCACACCACACCGTGGTCAGTTAGGTCAGGAGCACCAGAACCGACACCCTAATACCAACCTTGGGTGGCAGCTGGTAAGAAGTTGGAACTGCCTCCACTCCATTGCCTATGGGGTGTCACCATGGAAGAGTCCAGGCCAACAGTGCTACCATAGCTCACAGACACTATGAATGGCCTGCTGAATGAAATCCTCAGCTGACCCCTGCCACAGCAGAAGGGAGCTAATAAGGTGAGACTTTTATCACCTTACCAGGCCTGGGGAGGGTGTTATAAACCTAAAAGATTAGGTAAAGAGCCAACTGGTACTAGTTATAGGTTGGGATCTGAAGAAAAGCCTCAATCTGAGGAAGTCTGGCATGCAAAGTATTCATTAGGGTGTGCCCTTGGGAAAAACCCCTGGGAAAAGGTGGAGACAGAAAAAGGCAGAGCAGAGGAAGAAGCAGAACTGAGACACAGACCCAACAACAGCCTCAGCCAACTTCATGGACAGTTCTGGAGGGGAATGGCCCTTCACAATTGCCCCAAGTGGGAACAATATGGCTATTCTTTATACCCCTGCAATGAACAGTCAGGGACTAGGCACTGTCTAGAAAAGGGCACACCACAGACCAGACCATCCTTGAGGGGCTGACAGCTGAAAGCTGTGCTAACATCACTGCAGAGGCTGGATAATAAGACCTCAAAAAGGAGAATCTGAACAGCAAGCAGTACCTACCACACGGATTCCTCTTAGAAATACCATATAAGCTTAGATTCTACTCAAACTTGAGCGTCATCTGCCCTAATTTGAATGCAAATTTCTAGGGACAATTAGTTTATAATTAGTTTATAATCTACAGGCAGCTAGCCATCTTTACCTATTATCATACTGGGACTAGACATTTTATTTCATCATCAGTATTATTAAAATATGAAACATTCACGAATTTGCATGTAGTCCTTGCACAGTGATCATGCTGATCTCTGTTTCATTTCAATTTAGTA